TTTGTTGGTGCTCTTGTTTTTCACTGTTATTTTAACTGTTAAGTGGCAGGGTGGCATAACAGAATCAAACTGGTCTGATTTCGTGCCCACTTCTACCTCTTAGTATCTGTGCAATGTAAGACTTGTGTGCTTGCTAGGTTTATGCCAACTTGACACAAGCTAGAGTCATTTGGAAAGAAGGACTCTCAATTGAGAAAATGCATCCACAAGATTGGCCTATAGGCAAGTCTGGAATGTGTTTTCTTAATTAGTGATTGATGTTGATGATCAAAATGCTGTGCCTTATGGGTCTTATTGTCTTGTTAATTGTGAAGATAATGTACCTTAAAGGCATTCCCTATTTCCCAAGTTTCCTACATATCTATTAACTCTTACCTCTAAACTAGACCTAACCAAACAGACCTTGAACTTGAAAGAAGAAGCCGCAGTGGGCTTAGCTCTGAACTTAATTGATTCATTCAATAACTATGCACAATTTTTTCTCTTGTATATCTCAAATTTAAATATCTCAGAAAGAGGGGGAAGATTGTTTTGCTTTTCTTGTTTCTAAGGCTTCAGTGCAGGCAAACAAAACAAAACAAAAAACAAAAAACCTAGAACATGAACCTTCACAGTCATACATTTCCCCCATGACATTGAAAGTGCAAGGGGTGAACATTCTTTCAAACAAGATACTGAACCATTATATCAGCGTTCCTATAATCCCAGCACGTGAACGTGGAGACAGGAAGATCAGGAATTCAAGGTCATCCTTGGCTCCATAGTGAGTTTGAGGTCAGTCGAGGCTACGTGAGACCCTGTCTCAAAAACAAAACTCAAAATTCAAAGCAGCAGTGCTTAGACTATTCAGATACATCAGCTTACGGGGTCACATCCAGGAATGTAATAGCTTTTCCCCTCCAGTTGCATACAAAAGTATATTTACTCTTCTACCTTCATCTGATTCTTAAGCTGAAACAAAACCAGGGTAATTTAGTTACAACCTCATCCTCATCTGAAAAGATACGAGTTGTGTGTGTGTGTGTGTGTGTGTGTGTGTGTGTGTGTGTGTGTGTGTGTGTGTGTAAGAGAGAGAGAGAGAAAGGGGGTGGTTAGGGGCAAGCATGCACAAGTTCTAATGAAAAAAGACTCAGGAGTGAAAAGCAGTATCTCAGATATCCTCAAAAAATTGAAATCCAATGAAGTCGATACATTTCTTATAATTGCATAATTGGCCGATTGCCTGTGGGTCATACGCCAATTCACTTCAACCATAACTTGTGAAATTGAAATGCTATTTTAGTTTAAAAGGACAGCATGACAATGAATCATGCTACGAACTGATTTTAGTCCAAGGCATTTTGTTCTGCTTCACATTTGCTAAATGAAAGTAAATGTTGACTCTCTTCTCCTGAGTACTTAAAATAGACAGAGTGTCTCACAGCCACCTTGATTTAAGCGTATAAATATTTATGCAAAACCTAGGTGGGGCAGAATGAGAAACTGAAAATGTAATCTCTTCTCCTTATATAAATTACCAAATGCTTCTAATTATTTTGCTTCATCATTTTATTGGCAACTTAGAGAAAAGAGCTAGTGTCTACTGCCATACACTACCTAGCACAGGGGCCCCTTGGAAGTGGATTACACAGAATAGCTGAGTACCCGGGGAATTCTGAGTGTACAAGATCTACTAGTTCTCGGATCCTTTCTGAAGTTGATGCCAGAAATCCAGCAGGGAGAGTGCTCCAAGATTCAACTGAAGGGCATAGATTACTTCCTGAGGAAGACCGAATAGGGAATATTAATAGTTTCATTACTAGTTTTTCAGGTAAAGAAACAGGTTTTGAGAGATTAAGCTCTTTGCCTTAGGACACAGAAAGTGGCAGACAAGGTTGGGGTTATATCTCTGTTGGATCCCAGCTCTGACTTGGATCCCAGCACCATGTAGACTGCGTTTGAGAGAGCAAGACAAACTCCACTTTACAGAAAGACTCCATTTCAAACAGCACTTGGTCAGAAGCTAAACCTAGTTCCAGTAAAAACCTCAAAACAGCTCCAAGAGAAATCATAAACAGTCAGGGTCCTGGTCGAGGCGACCCCACCAGGGTGGGCTGGCCAATGAGTAATTTTGATAAACAACATCTGCTGGTCCCAGATGTCCTTGGACAACATCTGTTGTCCAAATGTCCTTCTGATCACCGTTGTTGTTGAAAATTCTTCTGAACCCCAACCGGTGAATTCAAAGATTACATACCCTCACCCAATCCTATGAAGCAAAGGCTTATACCACCTTGCTTGCAGTTTTTCTCTTTAAAAACCTCTCACTCTGAGAGCTCAGGGCTGTCCTTCACCCACTCTGTCGGAGTGTTGGACATGGACCAAGCTTGTTATCAATAAATCCCTGTGTGTTTGCATTGGATATTGGCTGGGGGGTGGGGTGGGCTTTCGACGTGGACACAACAGGTGTAGTGGTGCATGCCTGTAATTCCAGCATTTGGGGGGTGGTTAGTTATATACAGAGTCTGAGGTCAGCCTAGGTCAGAGACAGTCTCAGAGAGGCTGCAGTGGTGGGGGGGCATATTCATGTTCATTGCTGTTCTAATCACAATAGCTAGTAAATGGATTCAGCCTAGATGTCCATCAACTGATGAGTGGATAGTGAAAATGTGGTGCATATGCACAATGGGATTTTATTCAGCTGATAGGAAAACAAAATCATGAATGATATAACTCAGTCCCCAAATACAAACACCACATATTCTCTGTCAGTTTTAGATTTGTTTGTTTAATTTGGAGTGTCTGTGGAGGTCAGCAAACTAGAAAGGGCCCATGAGAGGGGAGAGGAGCCTTAAGCTGAGGGGAAAGGATAGTAGAACTCAGGTAACAGGAAAGTAGAAGGGGGGTATTGGGAGTGGAAAGATTTAAATGATGATGGGGAAGAGGGAGGGTAAATCAAAATTAGGGATGTATGAGAAAGTCTTATGGAAACAAACTTCTTTGTAAGCTAATTAAAAATTCTAAATAAGAAAGGAGTTTGAATGGAGGTGTCCTGTATGGGCAGAGTACTGTTCCCAGAAGCCATAAATTATGAAATGAAAATCCCAGTGCCAGACATAGGATGTTTCCCCATGAGACACCCAAACAATACAGGCTAATGGCATTGCTCTTAGTTGCCCAAACACTGGATGCCCTATTGATGAAGACATTATACATTTGGCTGCAAGACCTAGTGAAATCAAGCCTGCACTGACCTGGAAATGCCCCTTCTGTTGACTAGCTTTCATGGTTCTGAAAGATGTTATTTAGGCCACCTGGGGAGGAAAGTTCAATGGTCTTACTCATTAAGGAATCATGCATGCAACAACATGGACCTGCTAGGCAAGATCTGCCCACTGGTGCGATAGCAGCGTGACTGTTACTGGGCAGTGAAGGTAAACAACCACTTTCTGGTTGGATTTGAAGTCTGCTATAAAGGAGGGAATTTGTGCCTGATACAATACTGTAAGCCTGTGTCTGGAGAGGTCATAGGTCCCACTGCTACTGTTGTATTGCTAAATGGACAGGCTGTCAAAATGCTGTCTATATATGTATGTTTATAGCTATAGATTAGTGCTACTCAATGTTGATCAGAGAACCTTCTTTTTGCAACAGGAAGCACTCAATGGAGCAGTTCCCAATTTGCCAAAGTGCTTAGACTGTGGGGTACTCAGTACTAAATGAAACATTTCTATTAACTCCTCCCCACAAAGGCTCAGGGACCATCACGGAAGAGGTAGAAACTAGAGGGTGTGGAGGAGTTGCTGTGAAACCTGCCTTCTGAGTGTGCCGTGATGGTGGCACTCGGAACTCACAGCAGCTATAGTTATCTGCGCAAGACCTGTACAAGATTGGGCCTGTCAATGTTCTAGCATGGATCAGGAACGGATGAAGCCCCACCCCTCACTGAGAAGCTATTGCAAGTTAAAGGCTGCTGGGGTGGGGGGGATCATCTTTCTTCAGTGGTGTAGACACTAGTACATGGTCTGTGCTTTAGTGTATAACTCTATGGTGATATTTTATTTTGTACTAAAATGTGATTTGTATGTTAATAAATAAAGTTGCCCTGGGGTAAGAGCTATTAGCAAGCCATAGCAAAAGCCGGGCAGTGGTGGCTCACGCCTTTAATCCCAACACTTGGTAGGCAGAACTAGGTAGATCTCTGTGTGTTCAAGGATACAGCCAGCATTGGAGACACATGCCTTTAGTGCCTAAAGACTCACGCCTTTAATCTCAATACCAACCATAGAAGACCTGGAGGTCTGTACAGACAGGCAGTGACTAGGAGGTCATGTGGTTGGGTTTACAGCCAATGAGAAGGCAGAACAGAAACTCTATAAGAAAAGACAGACACACAGGAAGTAGGTCTCTTTCGGAGAGGTAGGACAACAGCGACAGTGAAGGGTAAGGTTTTAGCTCTTAGCTATTGCTCTGACCTCTTGGCTTTCATCTTTGTATTGGCTGTGTGTTTCTTATTTAATAAGACGGTTGGTTACATCTACATAACTCCATACCCTGCTCATGCCAGCAACCCGAATCAACATTAAATGAGAAGGGCTATAGTGAAAGTAGGGGTGGGGGGATGGGGGGTTGGGAGGATGGGGGGTGGGGACTTGGGAAGAAGAAATCCAGAGAGAGTGGGAGGGGGTTGAGGGGGCAAAGATGATCAAAATACATTACATACAGGAATATGTGAAACTGTCAAAGAGTAAATTAGAAGCAGTTCTTTTTCCAAAAGAACTTGGAGTGGAAGCTAGGCATGAGGGGGCATGCCTCTAATCTTAGTACCCAGGAAGCTGAGACGAGGTTGTGAATTCAAGGCTGGCTGGGGTACATAATGAGATCCTATCTCAAAAAAAAGTTGTTTTTACAGTCACAGGGGGGAAATATACAACATGCGATGTTTCAGTGTGTGTGTTGGATGGGGTGGGGGGGTGGGGGGTAGGGGGTTGGGAGGTCAGCAGGTAAACTGAGCCCAGAAGCCCACATCCCTACCCTATTATACTGACCCTGAATATGGAAGTAGGCTTTTCCAAGTAGTATCAAGTACCCATCTATGATGTGAACCTGAGCAGGGCAGATCAGAGCCAGCCACCCTTGCCTACCATCTCAGGTATTGAAAGCTCAAGTCTTGCAGCTACCCAGGCACTTCTTAGCTGCTTCCATGATGATCCCCCCCACAATCCCCATGATAGAACTTGGAGGTCACTGAGTGCCAGAAAACCTGAAATTCCTTGAGTTCTCCTGTCCATCCATGCTCACGTCCACTTACCCCTACTTTACTACTCTGATATGGTTAAACATCTTTGAAGAACTTCACCAAATGCTTCTTTCTTCATCAGGCTCATGCTAGGAAACTGACGAATATGAGAACCACTCAAAGAGGCTGAATCTTCCTTGAGGAAAGCAAGACCCTGAGACAGTGATTCTGGAACAGCTCCTCACTGAGTCAGTGACATGGGAACCACATCTGAGTGACTTCACCGAGCCCCGTTACCTCTTACCTATGACCTGAATGATCATGTGAAATCCCTCAAGAATTGAGAACCATGTAGCAAACGTGTCCCTGATCAGCCATGACAAATTATAAATCAGACAAGACACTCTGGGAGATGCCAGTCAAGAGAGCTGAGCTGCCATCTTCTCCACAGTCACAGAGTGGCTTCTCTGGACACAAAAGCAGCACACAAATGTCGGGCCACTCTTACCTTTTCTATAAACTGTAGTAATACATCTACTCAAGTTCTGTGACTCAGGCCAGTAGCCCCTCTCAAATGGAAAGGCATGGCAGTGTGTGTTGGTAGCCATCTCCCCAGGCCAGTGTTTCCACTTTCCTGGCCAACAAGGCAGGGAAGAATGTGCAGACGGTTCTCATAACTCTGCTGTGGCTGAGCTCTGACTTGACCCACGCAATGGAGGGACTCAGCAAGTGCGTTGGACTCACAGCTTCTGTCCATAGCAGGTATCTGTTAGAGTGACTGTTGGTTCCCGAGCACCCCTCTAACAGCCTGTATTACTTTCTCATTGCTCTCACAAAACGCTTGCCAAAGGCAACCTAAAGAAGGCTTTCTTTCGGGTCTCAGTTTGAGACTACAGTTCGTCATGGAGGGAGGACATGCGGTAAAAGCGTGACTCGGCTGGTGAGAACTTCCCAGCTGTCCAGAAGCTGAGGCGGATGAATGGTGGTACTCAGTCTGATTTCTTTTTTGTCTTCAGTCTATGACCCGAACCATGGGATAATGTCACCCATGTTTAGGGTGGGTCTTCCCTCTTCAAAGCCTTCCTAAAATCACACCTGGTGGTCTGTTTCCATGGAGATTTTAGATCCAGTCAACTTGGCAGCCACACAGACTTCGTTCTTCTCACGTTCATTCACCTCGCCTTTCCACCTCTTCTCTGCCTCGAGGGGTCCTGACTTTAAAGGGCTGAGAATCAACCACCTGAAGACAGCTTCTGCCACTCCATGCCCTGGCGTCTTTTGCGACTGGCAACGAGAGTTGTCTGCCGTACCAGCTCTTTCCCCCACATTCTAAGAGAACAAGATTAAGCCTCTCAGTTTGCTTCTCAAGCCATGGTTGGGGGGGAGGTGCTGTAAATCCAGCTTGCGGTCGTCTGTCCTGCTAGTCAATCAGCTTGAAACAGTAAATGAAGAAACTACATTCTTCTGCCATTTCATTAATCAATTTCCTCGTCTCTGGCTCTTGCCCTCCACATTCCAGACAACTAAACCATCACCAGCAGTCCCTGTAAACCATGAGTTGTGTTCAGCTTCTAGCAAATGTTCTACATGGTAATAAAACTGCAACATCTTTGGGGCGAATTTCTCCACAGACTGTTCAGCATCACCTTATCAAATGCTTGAGGGTGACCTCTAGCTTTATAGCTACAGCACCATTTTGGCCTTTATCAGTTGTGGACTGGTAGTCAACTATACTTTGGAAACCTAGTTGGGTAAACCATGACTTCCAGGTTTCACCATGCTTCCCCCACCCCCCAACTCTCTTTCCAGAACTAATTTCTCTTTGGAAAGAAGCTAGTATCTCACATACCACAACTGCTAAAACTGTACACAAAGTTGGAACAGGTGGCCTCCCAGAGTCTGATAGAGCATTCTACCTATGACTTTTAGGACCTGGAATGTGTGAAATCTATTTTGAGTGCTCGACCATACTTTTGGCTTGCCAGCTAACTCTGCATTATGTTTTGTTCAGGCAGAATGACCATTCCCTCTTTAGAAGTCTTTGCAATCAGTGTGAGTCAGAACTGTTTGTTGATTCAGGATAAACAGCAGTTTTGGTGGCATGGTCAAGGGGACTCTGTGTGTGGTCCTACCTCAGGATCTGGTACATAGGTTTTCAGTAATTGAAATAAGCATATGAACTTGAATAAATTATAAAATTTTCTCACTGCTGGAGCTTTTCTAGCACTGGAATGTGACTGTTGATGCAAAATATAGTTATCACTTTTAAAAGAAAACAAGATAGTTTATTCTGAGCCAAACATAATTGATCATGACCCAAGAAAATGAATTTAGGCTACTCTATATAACATAATCCACATAATATAAACCACAGACGTGGTTATATGACTTTTTTTGGTCACAGAACAAAATAAGTCATAACTCAAGGCATTTGATTAATGCATTGTTGGGGAGTGCTAGGCAGGTTAAAGCAAAGTGTAGAAAATCCAGCTAGAAGTTTTAGATGCTGTTTGATGACATTTTAAACTTTTGGATTGGTGGAAGCTATTGGTTTGGTTTGCAGAGAATATATTTCTAAGATTTTACCTGAGAGTCAAAAGGATGTCAGGTCAGACACTGGCTTGGGCAATGAATGGCCACCACGGAAACTAAAAATAATCTAAGATAATTTGGATCTGGACTGTCAACATTCTCACTCTTCACGGTCCACTCAGAGTTCTGAAGGAACACATTCTTTCTCTAAATTTTGTCCTGTAAGGTGCCTCAAAAGAGATGGAGATTTAAATATGTTCCTAAAGCTAGCCCACCTGTAGTTTTTGAAGGAACAGTCACTCTCTCTTCAGAGATAGTATTAACCGACCAGAGCACATCACAGCTCTGTACTCACTTGACATTGATTGCTACGCTTCAGACAGGTGCACAGGAAGCCATTATCAAGGCTGAAATAGAAAGTCCTTAGTAACGGGCACTTGAGTATTCCTGTGGCCAGTGGTGTCTGCCTGGACTGAGTGTTCCCAGGTGCTTTGTGTGTGTGCAAAGAATTGAAGACACACACATAAATAGAGCAGTGAGGGTTTTTATTCAAGACAAAGCGGAAGTTCAGAGCACATGGGCTGTAAAGCCTTCAGCTACCTGAGCTAGAGTGTTCAAGACCACCTGTTTGTTGCTAGGGGTTTCCCTTTGTGAATCCCCGAGGAGTTGGGAGTGGAGCGTGGGTAGTTTTCTGTTTGATTGATAGGCTTGGGTATGTAATCCTTTGTTCACTGGGCATATCCTTTGCCATGATGCATCTGATTTTAATCGTATGCATACCCAAAATGCATAGGCATAAGATGGTAAATAGATGAATTTCTCTTGACATTCACTCAGAGGACACAGTTTGCCTTACTGTGTATGCACCCCAAACCAGTCCAAGCTGGATTAGCACACTGCCCCCTAGTTCCTAGATATGTTCCAGGATGCATTTGGCTACAAATGAAGGGTTACTAAGGGGTTGCTATGGAACTCTGGGTTGGAATGACCAGATTGCTTTGTTTAGAGAGGGATGTGCATGCGGCTCCAAGTAAGTGCAGCTCCCAGGTTGCTAAGTGCTTTGTTAGGAGGTTGTGTGTGTGTGTGTGTGTGTGTGTGTGTGTGTGTGTGTGTGTGTGTGTGTGTGTGTGTGTTGATAGCTTGAGTATTTGTGTCTGGTTGAGAAACAATCTAGATATTTTAGAGATTGTGTGAGTTCAGTGCTCAGGCCAGTGACCGCCCATGAGAGGAAGCCCTCTTGAGTGCCCTCTGGCTGTCTCCAGGGCCACTGGGAGAATGCCTGAGCCCTCTAACTCACATGTCCCTGTGTTAATGATAATCAGAACATGCAGATCCAAAGATCTGGCATTAGTCATTGTTTTGTTCCCTGGGCAGGGCAGGATGTAATTTTGTGTCTACAAAAACTTCAGCTAAGGAGAGGAAAAAGAGAACTTTGGATATCTGATTTCTGTCGTGGGAAAAGCCCACAGTGGGGAAAACTATTTCTTGCTTTAAAGAAAGCCCTGGGGACTGGAATGATGAGCCCAGTGTCCTTCGAGGACCATGGAAGTCTCTGTCACTGACAAATGACAGTTAAAAATTAATGTTTTATGGTGCATGCCTTGTTCCTATGCTGTGTCTGAAGTGATTTTTCCCCGAACCCATCTGTTTTCTGGCCTTCCTCTTTCTGCTCATACAAACACACACACAGGGTTAGAGCAGGAAAACGAATTAGAATTCAAACCCAAATTGTGTTTAGACTCCTCCCCAAACAAGCTTTCTCTTTGAATCTGGATCACTCCCCTCCTCCTCTGTTCACTAGGTGTAATATCTTTTGTCTGAACAATAAACAAAAAGTCTTAGAGGTGAGTGAAACCCCAGATGATATGAAAGGTAGGGCGCAGCAATTTAATATGCTTGGGGAAACCAGCATGAATTCAAGCCTTTTAAGAGACATTCTCCAGCTCCATGATTTCTCAAGTGGCCCTGCAGCAAACTCACGCCCAGATCCATGCTGTGAAGCTTTTCTCCACTAGAAGGAGCCTTATGCCTTAGATAACAGCAATTTTCAAGATTCGAGACAGGAAAAAAAAATTTTTTTAATAGGTTAGGAAATAGCCTCTGACTTCTACTGCTATTAGTTAAATAAATTTAGAACCTCCTAAAATGAGGACCCCTTACCTTAATAACAAAAAATTATGTGTGCCACCCCCCCCACACACAACATGTATGTGGAGGTCAGAAAACAACAACCTCAGGTGTCCGTCCTCACCTTCCACCTTGTTTGAGAAGAATATCTTGTTGTTTGGTGCTCTGTGTACCAGCCTCGCTGGCCCATGGGCTTCTGGGAATTCTCCTTTGTCCACCTCCCATCTCACAGGAAAAGCCATTGGATTGTAGATACATACTACTTTTAGTAGGTTCTGGGAATCAAACTCAGGTACTCATGCTGTGTGAGGCAAACGTCTCACCCATCGAACTATTACTCAACCCCAGAAAATGAGGATTCTTTGAACATGCATTAGGGTGAGTACTGAAAGGGCAATGGGATGGCATGGCTCACATGAAGTCAGAGGAGAACTTTCAGGGGTAAATTCTCTTCTTCTACCATGTGGGTTCTGGGGATCAAACTCAGGTTGCCTAGCTTGGTGGCAGGTGCCCTTATCTGCTCAGCTACCTTACTGGCCCAAGCTTTTCTTGAATTCATATTCCCTCTTTTAGTTAAAATCTGTTGGCAGAGCAGCACTGATGATGGATTAATTTTTCACCTTCTTTTGTGTCTAGAGTTACCTAGTTGTTCTGGGTACATCCAAGCTTGTATTAGAATCCTGGAGTCTAGGCAGTGTTCAACTCATGTGAGAAACTCACGGAGTCTGCTTATAGGGCAAAGGAATTTATAGGGGAGAAACTCACTGTACAGAACAGAATTGTCACAGGTTCTGAGATGCTGGAGCACAGTCTCATGTGGTTCTGGCCATCTCAGTCAATCCTACATCCAAGCCCACGAGGGAGAGAAGAGAGCTACGTAAGTGCATCTCGGGTCTTAGGGGTAATTGAGAGGTCATGCCCCAGGGACATGTACTTCAAGGTCATAGGCAGGTAGAGCAGTTACTTGCTAGTCTCTTGGGCTGCGCGTCAGGGTCACAGAACAGATATCCACAACATTCAGTTGAGCAACAAGAGCTGGCTGCTAATGAGGGAAACCCAGATGCCTATTAGATTGAATCTTAGTCCCTGGGGTTAAATTGGTTCCAGTTCCTGGCTGTGTTACCAATGCTGCCTGTGGTTTCTTTGCTCTGCTGGGTGCAGGTAGCTCCTCAGTGCTGGCTGACCTGGGTCTTTGAGTGGCAAAGACTTGTAGACTGGGATCCCAGACTCTCTTCTCTCTCTCTCTCTCTCTCTCTCTCTCTCTCTCTCTCTCTCTCTCTCTCTCTCTCTCTCTCTCATTGGACGTCATTGTGGTATTGTGGAACAAAGTGCTTTAGTGCCCCCCTCCTCCCCGACCTCACTGCTCCTCCCAATCTCTTTTCCCCTTTCATGACTCACATGTCCTTTTGTCTACCTGCATTCTTCCTCATCATCTATTTTTACCACTTCTCAGTCTCTTCCATGCTTACACCCATTTATATATAAATTTTTATATATAAATGTGTGTGTGTGTGTGTGTATGTGTCTCTGTGTGTGTATTTTACAGTTTAGGATCCACGTATGAGACAGAGTATGTGTTTTTTGTCTTTCTAAATTTGGGTCATCTTGCTTAACATTTCCAGATCCAGCAAATTTCATTTTTCTTTGGAGCTGAAAAAAAAATGTTCATTTTGTTTATGAATCACATTTTTATGATCTATTCCTTTGTTGACGGACATCTAGGCTGGTTCCATTTCCTCACTATTGTGAACAGAGCAGCAATGAACATGGACGAGCAAGTACCTCTACAGTAGAATATGGAAACCTTTGTTATATGCTGAGGGTGGGGTAGCTGAATCATACGGCAGTTCTGTTTTGAACTTTCTTTTATATCTCCACATTGATTACCATAATGGCTGTTCTAGTTAGCACTCCCACCAGCAGTGAATAAG